CATATATTAAATTTACTATAGATCAGTACCATTTCGATACCAGTTCGATACCAGTTCGGTACTTTTTTGGAGCCCTACCTAGAAGCAAGTGAAATTTTCATAGTAAACCTTTAAATTTTAAAATTATTGTAGATTCTTTTTACTGAGTCAAAATTTAAAGGTTTACTATGAAAATTTCACTTGCTTCTAGGTAAACTTCATGGGTTTAGAAGATATTGAGTTGGGGAGTAGGAATAAAGTTATTCTCTATCATATCTTCTATCAAATTAAAAAAAAATATTCAAAGTTTACAAGCAAATAAAATATAATCTAGGTTTCAAAGTTTATATTAAATATTTAAGTAAAAAAATTTTTTTATTATAACTTAAAAACTCATGTGAAAACTTGAATTTGTTCTATCAATTTTTATTAGTCTACATTAAAAATAAATTTTAAATATAAAAACAATATAAAATATTAAAAATGTTCTTAAGTAATCTTGTACTATATAGTTTCAAAAATATTTTTATAAATTTTTATAATATTTAAATAATTATTAAAAAAATTATACTAAAAAAACCAATTCCAAAAATTTATGACTCACACTGTATATAGTTAATAGTATAATAGATAATATTTTCAGATTTCAATATCTACAAAAAAACAAATACATAAAAATTGTTCTTTATATTAAATTTACTGATTTTTTTACATATGTTATATTCAAATATCTGACTACTATTTAAATTTAATTAGGCTATATAAATATAAAACCACTGGTCTTTTTAACAATTGCAGATTAAAAATAGGTTGAAACAAAAAAGATTGCATGAAAAAAAGCTTTTGTGTCAAGAATGTATAAACTTATTCAAATTCATTATAACTTTAACAATAACCTGCAATTAAATAATTAAAGGTAAAAATGTTATATAATAACATATTTATCCAGAAAATCATTTTTCGTAATATTATTTATAAAAAATCTGTTTATTTTTTTTTACCTCTTATTATGGTTTTTTTTGAATTAAGATATGAATATATAGCTCTTGCTTTATTGAATAAATAAACTTTATTAGATAATGTCAAAGATTATTATAACTCTGTCAATCATTTCAGACGTGAGCATAATATCACAAATAGAAAAAATGGAAAACTTTTGATGTTAGGTTAATTCAAGGATTTATTTTACGTGTCTACACTTCACCTCAAGCCACCGTACGAATGAATAACTCATTAAATGAAGATAGGTTTATTATTTAGACAAGTTATGTAAAAGTACAAATATATAACATTTCGGTACAAACTAAGTCGGAACCGAGTAATTAACATATTCTAATGTTTCTCATCTAACAATAATAATCACTTTTTGACTAAAATCCGAGGGTCCGTTATACCAAACGAAAATCACGTATTGTCTTTTACCGATTGTCTAATTATTCAGTATAAAATGTGATAGTGATATATAATTCTCATGAGTCAACGTCCGATCCCTAATTATTCCACGCTCGGTCTGCAAATTTCCGTACGGACTCGATATCCTTTTCAATTTCACTAATATCCTCGTCGAACGGGTATCCATTCGACCGTTGAGTATATTCTTGTCGTGAAAGTTTTTCCTCAATGGTCAAGTTGTCATCGCCGCTGTTACTGCCGTGTTCACTCTCACCGCCAAAGGTCGATGAATATACAAGTCTTCCCTGCACGTTCATCGGAGCCAACGTACGTTCGTTCGCTCTCGAAGAGTTGTAATAGTTCAAAGATAATCCGGAACTTGCGACCGAGGAAACACTTGGCTGTTGCATGTGTTGTCGACTCATGTGATGACGCGTGGAACCATTATTAAAGATTGGAGCATTCAACTGTATCACCGATTGTCGTGGAACCTGGTCGTCGCTTGGTAAGGCTAGAGTAGTCCTAGCACTACTGTCATTCTTCTTATCGCGCCAATTTTTTCTTTCTGTGGTGGTGGGACTGGTGGGCATTGGGGCCGCATCAAGCATGTGATTAGATCCCCAGCTTTCGGTGTAGTGGGAATACATTGAACCCATTTTGTAACGCCTTCTATCACCCTCTTGGGAAGCGGATGAATTGGATCTTTCTAGGCCCAAATATGGAGATTCAGATTCTAACGAAAACACGTCTTGATCGTCAGCAGGCAGAATACTGGAATCTCTCAGAGTAGTATTTTCTTCCAAATCTTCCTCTTCTACATTACCGAGGGGGTATTTCACATCATGGGTAGGAACATTGAAGTTGTTATTTACCTGCATTTGAGGATTCGCACCCGTTCGACTTTCATTGTTTGCAGTAAATGGTAATGGACTATTTGTACTTTCAGGTTGTGAGTTATTTATTCCATAACCCATAGAAAGTCGCATCTTTGTAAACGCGGTTGAGAGATAATTATACTTGGATGACCGATCCACGTTTGCGTTTCCAAATTCATTGTAATTATTACGTTGCTGATTGTACTGAACAGTTGGTGGTGGCCTACCGTAGGCATTATTATTCGGTGCACCTCCAAAAGCTCGCATGTCAGGTCTGGTAACAGCCGGTGGTGGCGCGTCGGAATTCGAAAAAGAATTTGGTCTCGAGATAAACGGATAATCTGTAGACGGTTCAAACCTCGAATTTGTTTTCGATTCATAGGGTTCATCCATCCTTCGCCTATTCTCCTTCCTTTTAGCTAAAAATCCATAGGCCCAGAAAGCAATACCCGCCAACACGAATATACCAGCTATAACACCGGCAATTATTCCGACCTTGCCGACATTAACACCGCCACTACTATTAGAGTTAGAGGCAAGTGGAACACATACGAGGTTTTGACATGCAGAATTGACATTACACATAAGATTATCCGTGCAACTGGCGTTATCGGCTTGTTTTGGAACACACATGGAGGTGGTGGTATTGCAATAATAATTTGTCGTGTCGGCGCATGAGGATAACGTCAACTTTTGACCAGTGGAGAGACAGGGTGAGGGCGTGATTGATGAGCTTGCAGTGGTCGAACTTTTGGGGACTTTTACAAAGGTAGTGGAAGTTGAAAGTTCGGAAGGCTGAGCATCCGAAGTAGAAAGAGATGAAGAGTCTGTGGGAAGTGTTTGATCTGTTGTAGGAGTCGGAGAATCTGCTATCGAAGTTGATTCTTGTATGGAGCTAGGTCCTGGTGCAACGGTTGATGGAGTATCAGCAGGTGCCTGTGTTGGGACGGATGAAGGTGTGACGGGTGAAGGTGCGACAGATGAAGGTGCAATGGGTGAAGGTGCGATGGATGAAGGTGCGACGGATGAAATAACATTAGGTGAAGAGACAATTGTTTCAGCTTGCGAAATTGGTAAGGTGGGTGGATTCGGGCTCAGATTCGTTGATAGCGCAGGAGGAGCCTGAGTTTCAGGAAGAGCAGGAGCAGTATTTAAAGTTGCTATAAGAAAAAGAATGTAACATACAAACGAAGTTAGAAACACTTGTCACGTGAACGGCTGAGTGTTCAAGAGAACAAACGAATCGCTTTCTTAATTCAAGACTTAGATTAAAAGTGTTTCATGTCCTTTGGAAAAATTGATTACCTTGAGCATCGACCCATAAAACTAGTGCACCAAGAACTATCAACAAGACATTGAAGAATCTCATCTTTATAC